TATCTCTCTCTAAACGGAATCCAACCAAACAACTCTTCGAGTTTGCGATGCTTTTCAAATATACAGGATCATTTAGAAGCAAATCACGCTCCGATTTGTGTCCTGGCACATTATCAGCTGGGCATCCGCAACAGCTGACTGCGAAGGGCTAATCCCTGGGTGATAAACCTGTATTTAAGGGTAGTAAAGCGGTTACCAAGTTTGAGCTTTTCGATAACAGTTTCTATATTTTTCAACTTCTTCTGCCCAATATTTGTTGGTAATTTCATTTCCTGGCTTCGCAAATGCGCACCACCACTGCGAAATTCTGGAAATCGAATATTCGCATGGTCCTGAAACAAATGAGTACATAATCTTCGTTGCTAGTGCAAATAATGCCTTAGAAAATAGAGTTAGCATTAAAAAGTAGTAAAAATTCTACTTGTATGTAGGTGGCGCTTGTCACCGGCGTCGGCACAGAAGAAGCTTTCTGCGATCGAGATTTATGACTTTTCTTTATATTTGAAGTTGTCTGAACTGGCGCTATTCTGAAACCCATCCAAATGTCACTTTATGGAAATTAGGAAATTAGAAAATACTACCTTCCGAAACCTTATTTCTGATACTTCATTTCGTTGCCTTTTCATGACAGCACAACTACATAACAACAGTGCATCCAACATTTTCTAAATGGTTGCTTCGACTGAAATTTTCATGTTTACAGCTAAGGGATGAAACAGAGGCTGCATCCAAACCCATCTTTTTACACGTAAAACTGTCATAAACCCCTAGTCCAATCCTTTCTATTCTACTGTTTCATCAGCAGCAATTCAGGCAGTTCCCGCTTCCTCTGTTCATCTCCCCACTGCCCCCATCACTCTTCCTAAATAGCACCTTTTTCACCAATTGTGCGCTTCCTCCGCTTAATTTTTAATAGTCTTCTTGCACTTCTCCATGGCAATTATTGAGAAATAAACGCGCTAGGCACCAAGACTATTAAAACCCTCAGAAGTATGAACTCCGCCACAGAGACAGGTCTCAAGCCGGACTGGTAAAATTGCCACGTAAAATTGTCATAAATTCCTAGTTAAGTGAAAAACACATTATCAATCGCAAAGCGTACTGCAGTCTAGACCATGATAATAGAATATCTACAAAACACCGATTTCAAAAAAGGTTATTCTGCCAAAAAACACTTACGAAACTGCTGGCGAGGCTGGCGTCCTTTCACCGGCTGTAATCAACTTCTGCAAATCTTGCGCTTTCCTTTCCCGCTCTCTTTTACGAACCTCAATTTTCTTCAATTCCGCAATCAACATTCCTTCTTCCTCGACCTACAGTATAATAAATTGATTAAAAAAACTATAAAAAAGTGTAAAAAAGTATAAAAAAGCACGTAAATCTTTCGCTACACTGCAATCGGCTATCCTTTCATCACAGTGTCTCATGAAGGTATCAATGAAACTGATCCCTTTCAAAACTGCTGCGACTGGAACTTCATTACTTGGAGATTGTTCTGCTATTGTTTACCCTGACGCTGGTCTCCAGACTTTTTTCCCCATCTATTGGAATCAAAAGTTATATGTATCACTTTCCTTTTACCCAGTTTAACATCGATTCCAAAGCTAAACCCACTTGTTGTTCAGTGCGATTCCACTGCTTGATCAATTGCTCCTTGCGTCGCTTTTCATGTTCAGCATCGTAACAGAACACTTCGGCCTTCTCATTTCTCATGGCATTCAGTTCATTTATTGCATTGTAAAAGCGCTCCTTCATTTCCTCCATTGTACGACGCGTTGAACCTTCCCACCTATCCACTATGATAACCCATCTAAACATAACAATTTATAACAATTATCCACAGTGGATAATCAAGATCAAGTAAAATATATCGAACCGTTCGCAGACTCACCGTTTCAAGAATTTCTGAACTTGTAATACTTAGAAATTTTGCAATAAATTTCATAGTTAATTGTCGCCTATTATCGACACTTTTCCAAGTATTTTTTTAACGCTTTCCTTCGCCAAATTTGCTTTTTCTTTGATCAAAAAAAGATTTGGCCTTGGTCAAACCAGCCCAATTTCCCTCAGAAACAGATCTAACAGCTCAATGTACAGTGCTCCAAATCGAGATTACCTCAGATCAAAACGTCGGCATAACTCGAACAGATGAAGCGTATCTTCCTTGGTCCATTTCGCCGAAATCAAACATTTGTCGTAGTCCTCGTCCGTAAATGTTGGAATATTGATGACCTAACAATAAAAAATCCAAGCTAATGCAGTTAGGTATTCCAAGTACATTTCATTCAATGCATAATAAAAACAAATTTTTACACAGAAAACGAAAAAATCAAAAATCTGCGTTAAACTTTGTCGTTACCATAAGTAGCCCTAAGCTTTGGCCTCTCCTTCAGAAACACTGCAAATTAGTACACTAATCCCGCATTGTATTTTTCTAACCAAACGTACAAATGCCCTGTTTGACAAATAAATGTATCATATCGTATCGAGACGTCAAAAATAACTTAATTTTTTTTTGAAAAAAAAAAAAAAAAAACTCAGAAACCTTATTAAATCGGGCAAATGGATAAACGTCATCGGCTTTATCGGCGCGCTTCCAG